ATAGCCGATTCTTTTAGCGACTGTGTGATGAATTTATTGGAAATATGATTTGGGCCCTAAAGGATGAATTTACAGGGAAAACCCTGAAAAAACAAGAACTTGAACTATTACTGTCGCTTTATGCAAAAGAAAACAAAGGTGACAAATTCAAGTCTCAAAGTGTCACACCACCAGATCTGAAAAACCTGAATCAGGCAGACAGAAGATTATTGAACACCCGGGAATTTAATAGACTCATCACGAAATCGGCTTTTGATATTGGCTGAAAATAATCAGAGCCAATGAGACTATCTGACGCAGGACACGATGTGAGCGGAGAATCTGTGGGGTATGATTCGGCGGTTTTCTGACACTTTCAGTAGGCGTGACCGACCGAGAGCTTATCTACCGAGATAATGAATAGTAGATTAGCATAACTCGCAGTCAGCACTCATGGTTCGCTGATTGACTTATGGACGGATTGTCAGATTCTTATCACTCCGTTTGTGCTAGGTAGCACCATAGATTCCTGAAGGCGTTAAAAACATGATTTTTAATTTTATAAAAAAAATAGACAATGATCTTCTACATAGGGTATTTGCTTCTGAAAATTATCAAACCACTTTTGGGTGTGTTTTCATACCGAAGATGTCACTCTTAAATCGGCTATAGCGCCAGTAATTAAAACTTGGGCCGTTGAACTTGCAAAGGTCGGAACTAAAAATATAAGGCCGAAAATAGTATCTTTTTCTGTCAAATCCCGTTCCTAACAAAGGCAAATACTCTTAGAATACAAAACGTGTGATGTAAGACTACAAACTACGCCGGAAAGAAATACTGATATTCCCAGTCAAAAATTTTAACCAGGAATTTTCGAAAAAAATTTCACTTAGGGATGTTTCGCAACTTTTCTGAAGGGTTGTTAAAAGCTGAAATGCGTTTTGCGTCAGCTACCTGCGTAGGTTCACGACTGGGCTGTCATGTCATCGAATAAGGTATTAGTATCCGTATCACGCCGAAACAATGTCCCATTTTGACAGCGCACGGAACACAGCAAGTAATTATTAAAAGTGTTAGCAATAGACAAAGAAAAGGTTCAGGGGTCAAGAGCATGGTGCTGACTGCTGCTGTATTTGGATAAGTAAAAGTTTCCTTCCGATGATCGAGTTTTTCCGTTTAACACCTGGCTAACAGTAGCTGTGGTGATGATGTGAACGTAGAGACTATTCTCATTTTGCAAGCGATTCTTGTCCCAACACGTTTAAGTTAGGGCAAACGAGTTCTCAGGTGATTTCTTCTTGATTTTGTTCCAAATTTCCCTAGAAGTCAACGCCGAAATGAAGTTCATAGGATTTCCTGCATTTTCCAGATACTTTTACACTGCTGTCACTGATTTTTGTTAAAAAACAGTTTACGAGGAAATATCGAAATTTTTTTAGACGGATATATGAGCAGGAAAACAAAATACTTAACGTCATCAAGGGGAATTAGATCAACACAAATATAGTAAAGAATTGGGGCTAGAAAACAGTGCGAGGGTTTTGATTTATACATACAAAAAGGGGACAGGTAGAGCTTAAATTCAACCCCAACTAATCCAAGCTAGAATCAGTCAGTCCATAATGTCAGTCTCAGTACAGCACACAGAGAGCACCGCCAAAAGGAATGCAAGGCAAAATGAAATCTGTCGCAAATTCCAAGCGATCACGATTTAATCTGTCTCAGGAACAGAGCTTTAGTAATCCTTCCTTGACGAACTTCCAGCTTTCTAGATCAGTCACTTAGTTCATCTTCAATCTCCTTATTTTTGTATATTATATTCGTCTCACATAGTTGCCCTAAAAATAGCAGTGTGATCTGGGAGAAAAGTCATTCTGGAATACCGGTGTTGGACAGTCTAGCTAAACACTGTCAGCTTTTTTTTTTTTTTTTAATCTCATAAAGTAAGGGAATTGAGAATGCTACTGGACGATTTGGGGCCAGGTGAAAGGAGAAGAGGAAAGGGAAAGACATCATACAGCTGGCTTTGAAAACGCCCGCACGCAATTCAAACATTTTAACAAACTCAATCCACTTCCACTTTTAATTCCTATGACAAACACTACAAAGCAGTTTAGCACTACAGAACACCCAAATGTAATACAGAGATCGTTGAATTTATCTTTCCTGACTTCACATATCTATAAATAGAGGGTGACCACACTGTAGCTATGTTTTCTGGATCTTGCCCAAAGCCTGCTTTACAAAAGCACGTCCACGAATGTTAAGATCAGGACCAAAGCATTTTGAAACGCATATTTGACCACTGGATTATTTTCTCACATCAATTTCTAAAAATTTTCGCAAAAATCTTAAATACTTCGGTCGCCTAAGCAACATGCCGTTGTTATTAAGTCACGTTTTGTTGTAAAGCCCACGAAATCAAGCTTAGGTGAGCATAAAGAACCATCAAGTCAAGCTGTGAGAGAGGCCTTTATAGTAATTCTTTACTATATTTGTGAGATAAAGAGGCCTTTTTCAAGAATCGATAGAGCACAAAATCCGTAACACGCAAATTATAAACAACATAGTTTTTGGACTGTGTTGCCTTAGCTGTGCATAAACTGACCTTGTACTTGCCTCACACACTACTGCAGGGGTCGAGTTGTTTAACTCTGGTGCTATTTTTCATCCGCTGAATAAACTTAAGAGTGCTAACGCGATCGGAGTGAAGTAAACGCAGTTCTACCGTGGGAAAATCACGCATAAATGTTCCCACAGCTAGTCATAATCAATAGCTTTACTCAACTGTTCAGTAAATATTTACATTTTGTGAAGAACAAAAAGGGACCTGCGACTCACTAAATTTTGGTTTCGTTCATCCGGATACCTCTGGCCTGTTTTGAAAGTCCTATTTTCAGTCGATTGTTTTTGATCCCAGCCATGTATTATAATAGATTTTTCTAAATCGTTCTTAAGGCGTTAAGAAGATTGCAGTCTAGAAATAGATTAGGCTGTTTGTTTGATCTGATGCCTGTTTTACTTTATCGCTTTCTTAAAACAGCAGAAAACAGATCACAACACAAGACAATCACTTAGGCTCAATTTAGAATCAATAGCTTGGGTATTTTTTCCATTCAAGAAATGTAAATATGGATCGAATATACCGTGGGAAAATAAACCGGCAAACGATAAAGTGTTTTCCCCTTTTAGCTTTTCTACTTTTCGCGAGTCTCTTAAAATCACAATCCTGTAAGTACGGTAGGAAATATGCTGAATATTTGTGTCGCTATAAACTGTTGAAGACTGTTTACAAAATCAAGGAGGACAGGCTCTGGAGTATTCTGAGTGCCCGTCACACGCACAGTAAAACTACTCAGTTTTCGAGATCAAAGTCAATATTTTCCTAGAATGTCAAGATAAGTTTTGCTGTCATTTATTTTAGAACTGTATTAAGCCGTGTTAATTTTACAGCAAAGTCTGTCATTGGCTTAGCACGCGATTTGAATAAATGTTTGGCAAACTGGGAAAGAGTAACGCAATAATTCAGCATTCTTGAACACCCCTAAACTCCTATCTTTGAATCTTAATTCATCATAAAACAACAGAATTCGATCCTCTTCGAATATCAAAGCGTCACACATAACTTACTGAAGTTAAGTAACGCCTACCACGGAGAGTAAAAGCTTTTTCGCATGTTTACATCAACACTGCGCGCGCGAAATACACGACCAGGAAAAATAGTTAATAATATCACGACATGAATTAAGCCACAATTTTTTTCCTTCTCTTTCTTTCTTTAATTAGATTTCACTCATAAGAATGTGTTTCCTTGTTAAAACGCAAGCCTAAAACCTTTAAATGACCTTCTAGCTTACTAATATTCTCGATTCCATAAGCTACCTTCGCCAAACCTAATGAGCTTTTCGGCTTCTTCGAACGCAAACCTCCGAGTTGGTCTTGTTCAAAGCTAAATTCTTACCGCGTTAAACCTGCTGGATAAGGAATTGATTATAACTATCAGTCAGAATTGATTCATTAGTCCTTTTACTCAGCAGTGCCGCGGGCGGGATGTCTCATGCATGGTAGTTTCAGCTTCTCTTGAACCGTTGCAGGGATTTCCGGAAAAAGCTCTCACCTGACGGGGAACAAAATTGGTGTGGATCCAATAATTTTCGTGAAACAACTGAGAAAGGAGTAAAGCGATATTCAGTGCAGGATACTGTACGGGTTTTAATCCCAGTAGTAGCCTTAACGAATAAGCCAGTTCCTAGAAAGTATCTTTAGGCCACTAGGGCAAAAGTAATGGCTCTCCATTTGACTGAGAATTTCCGACAGGTGAACAGTACGAGAG